CGGTGTGACGGGGATTCGAACCCGCGACCCGCAGATTGCGAGTCGAGCTCCCTAACCACCTGGCCATGCCGGGCCTCTGTAATTGTCATAAATTGCTTCAATTCCAACTAGACTTCTGGGAATAAAAAATGTTCAGTAGTTCATATATTACTTAAAATAATGAGATTTCTGGTATAATTAAATAATAATTGATTCAATGAGTGGTTTAAGACACAATGAGGTTCGTCCAACCAATACTAATATCATTTAGTAATTAAAATATTAAATCCGTTGAACAAAATTTCATCAAAATGCTTATAAAATTAATGAGCAAAAGATGTCATGTGTTTGTAATATAGTAGTTATAGAAAACGTATATTTAACTATTATTCTCTTCTGCTTTTTAACTCCCACATTCTAACTCAAAGAGCGTGCATATAGTGTACCTTATATGCAACATCGTGGTAGAAATTATAGTTATACATGCAAGCTCATAGGTTTTTCATTATAAAAGAATAAAAACGTTTCGCTACGAATAAACTATCTTATAACACGAAAATGTTGTTTTTATTTACTTAGATCCTCAACGTTTCGCTTTACAGCTTCTTCAAAAGCGTTCACTAAAACACAAACCGAAGCTGCCAGTACAAAGCTTCAAATCTATAAGTTCGTTTATTTCTAGTATTAATATGTCTTCTATACCCCAATATAAACTACAGAAATTAAAAACGTTTTGCTGTTTTCAGTGCCAGTTAATGTCTTAGTAGTTTCAAAATATGAAAGTGACTTAACCGTTTCTAATGTTCAATGAAAAAATAATAATCGTTCCTATGCAAAAGATTTCTAAAAACAAATATTTACCCTATGCTAATACCATACACTGTAAGAAACATTATTGAAGAAACTACTTATATTTGTGCTAAAGTACTCTCATAAGGAAATTTTAAAGTATTGAATTATCATAATGTTTATTGATTTCTTGGCGAGTGTTTTACTTTGTTAGTTTTCCTACAGTACTCTTAGCAGAACAAAGTATTCAGAAGTATTAATTGAAGAAGTTAGAAGTTTCCTCTTCTTTCCCAACTTAAAAAGAACGGTAATTCGACTGATGATGAGTGCGGCAAAAGTATGAAATTCTGTTTTTGAGTAATCTTTGGTCATAAAAAATTAATAGCATCAGCGACAAACAATCGACGAAAACTCAAGAAACGACGTTACTTTACAATTTATATTTTGAAAACAAAATAACAACAACAACAACAACAATGGCACCAGGCAACACTTAAATTACAAAACAAAGAGGTAACATCTTATATTTTAAAGTACATTAATTCTTACTTATTTTTTTCAGCAACATTTCTTTGTGTTTTTGTAACTTCCAACATGTTGAAGTTACTATATAAAGGTATATCTAATTCCAATAGTGAGGTAACGTTTCCGTCACAGCGGAAGTGCGTTTCAGAGCTTAGTCAATACGGTATATGTGAGTCGCTGTTATCGCTTCTTACACTTTGTTTCTTGACACTGGTTTGGTACAACCATTCACTCACTGCTGAGGGTGTCGCTCTGGTCTCCTGCTTCCCAAGATAGTTGCGTCAACAGAAACTCGGAAACAGCCAACGTGACTTAAGTTTTGTGGTACTAAGATATGGAACATTATATTAGTTCAGTTAATCATCAATTGGTAGAGTTTCTAAATTACTCTAACGTAGAAGAAAACGGTGGTGCAATGAGAAATTTTTCTCTTCAAGATGATAATCTGTATGAGGTTCCAGCTGGTATAATTGTCCTTTTGTCTATTGGCTACGGGTCAATTTCTCTCGTGGCAGTAGTGGGTAACTTCTGCGTACTGTGGATTGTTGCCACAAGCCGCCGTATGCAGACGGTTACCAATTTTTTCATTGCTAATCTAGCCTGCGCTGACATCATTATTGGGCTTTTCTCTATTCCTTTCCAGTTTCAGGCTGCTCTTCTTCAGCGCTGGGTCTTGCCTAACTTTATGTGCGCCTTCTGTCCATTTGTCCAGGTCCTGTCAGTTAACGTAAGTATTTTCACTCTTACGGCCATCGCCCTTGACCGCTACAGAGCCGTCATGTCCCCGCTAAAAGCTCGTACGTCCAAACTTCGGGCTAAGGTGGCCGTACTCGGTATCTGGGCTTTTTCTGCTGCTCTTGGAGTCCCTAATGCAGTCGCTCTGCGTGTGAGTCTGCAGAATGACCCCGTCACTGGAAACAAAACTAAACCTTTCTGCCAGAATTCTGGAATTCCGCCACTGGCTTGGAGAACATACAACCACATATTGGTGTCCCTACAGTACTTCGTGCCTTTGTTTATAATCAGCTACGCTTACATTCGAATGGGTATACGACTGAGGCAAAACCAGACTCCAGGCAATGCCCAAGGACCACGAGATGCTAATATCCTTCGAAATAAACAAAAGGTAACGTTTCACAAAATGTAAATCTATTCATTTAACTCTTTGCAAAGAAAAAACGTTTTTATAAGAAAAATTGCAATCGTCACCCCCCCCCCCAATAAAATTATTGTATCTCTTGAAAATTCAATAACAAGCTTACGTTTCCGAATAGACCACATGGAAAATTCAAAGATCTCTCAATTTTCCGAAATTATGTAAACTCTAAATATATTTCAAAATTGAATATCAATATCCTTATACAAAAATCATAAACTATTCTAGAACGTACCTCAGTAACCTCAATTATCTATTTAATTTACTCTTTCATAGAGTAGTATGTTTTTACGTATGTGAGATATATATATCAACTCCTATTCGTTTTGAAGAAATTCTAACGAAAACACTCACCTAGAAACTCATGTATATCTGTGTATCAATTACGTTTCAAAAACTATATGACTGTTTCGTATGCCAAAATCACCAAAAATTCAACTAAAATTTTAATTTAACTGATATCGTATGACTTTAAAGCTGCCTAATATAAGTACTACGTGGTTAATATATGTGTGAATCTAACTATATACCTTATATAACGTTTGTTTGTTTTTAAGTAAAGGGCTGTTGTGGTTTATATATAAAACGCACTTGATAGCCCAATATAAAGACAAGACAACGAATACTTGACTTTCGGTCCCAACTCTGTCAGCCTGTTAGTCAGTGATAAGCTTATAGACTTACCATGCTATAATTCGAGTTTCGATTCCTCACAGTGGACAGAGCTCAGATAATTCATTGTGTAGCTACGCGCTAAAACAGCAACAACAACGTTACCAGCTGTTTTGAATGTCATTTAAGTCTAAGAAAATTATCAAACAAAACCTCGGTGAAGATTTAATATTAAATCATGTGATCTAAATAGTTATTAAAGTGTCTTCTAGCGAAATTTTAATCCTGATTTAAACGGGTTAAAAAAGCGAGAAGCAGTTCGCGTTACACGACTAACATTCACTTTTATCCAGTATTAAACCAGGCATTTAACAGCAAAATCATCCCATTGCTTTTATTGCTTAATGCGTACATATTAATTTAAATTTCATAAATTAAGAAAATATAAAAATACTTATTTAAAATGCTTCCAATATTTATATTACAATACTTTTGCTATAAAGTAGATATAATCTAACTGAAGTTTTTTATAGTCTTAAAACACATAACGTGCTCGTGCTATCCTTGTGGGAAAACGTTTAAAAAGATTAAAAGAAATATACAAGTAACAAATTCTCCAATAAATAAGCACCCCAGTAGCACAGCAGTATGTCTGCAGACTTATAATGCTAGAATCCAGGTTTCGATATCCTTGGTGGGCAGAGCACAGATAACCCACTGTGTTGCTTTGTGCTTAACTTCAAATAAACAAATCCAGTAAATAGGTAGACGAAATTTACACTTCACAGATACTACACATGGAGCGCCATCAGCCTATAGTGAGATATATATATAGCTATTTATATGTAATATCGATCACTATGCTACTTCATAAATACACATATATATATATGTAGAGCTATGTCAGTTTTCTGAAGTTGATCAATCACTTAAAATGTTTATTCCATATGATCTTGTGTAATGTTTATTCCATGTGATCTTGTATGAAATGTTTATTCCATGTGATCTTGTATGAAATGTTTATTCCATGTGATCTTGTGTAATGTTTATTCCATGTAATCTTGTGTAATACTTATTCCATGTGATCTCGTGTAATGTTTATTCTATGGGATCTTGTGTAATGTTTATTCTATGGGATCTTGTGTAATGTTTATTCTATGGGTTCTTGTGTAATGTTTATTCCATGTGATCTTGTATGAAATGTTTATTCCATGTGATCTTGTGTAATGTTTATTCCATGTGATCTTGTGTAATACTTATTCCATGTGATCTTGTGTAATGTTTATTCTATGGGATCTTGTGTAATGTTTATTCCGTGTGATCTTGTCTAGGCAGCTTGATAGTCATGCGTTTCAAAATAGCTTAAAGTTACGGTAACATATTCGCATACGAAACAGACATATTCAGCTAAGTTCGTATTTACTACAAATATTGGGTATTTGTATCTTTATTTTGCATAAAATCTTACTTATCTAATGACTCTCTAAATTGTCTAAGACATATAAAATATGAATAACATTTTTCAATAAAATTTTGAGTACGTAGTTAAATATATCGCCATGCTCATTGTGATGATATAAAAATTGTATTTAGAAGATGTTCTGAAATCGAGAAATTATAGGTAATTCTGAAAATATTGAGTGTTTGATGGCCCAGTTCATCAAGGTTTCAACAAATAGCTGAACTTAGATTAAAGATCAAAAACGTGTACTCTCAGGGCTTCAATGGGTTGCTGAAGTATGTTTACAATGAGGAGTTTCGTGTTTGAATGTTTCACAGATTACTTGATCTTAGGTTATAGCTAAGGAGCTTCAGCTCTCGGGATTGCACTTTGTGTCTGAAATTAGGTAGAAGGTAGACTTCTTGGCTAGAATATCTCTCTTTATATATATATACTGAAACAAAAACGGAGGATACTGAAATCAAGTAACACATATATATTTGTTTGTGTGTGTATGTGAGAATATATATATATATATACGGTGTGTGGATGCGATTTATTTTTCATTTTTCTCATGTTTTTTCTCATAAAATTACATACATACACACACACACACACACACACATATATATATATATATATAGATGATGTGTTTGAAATCATTTGAAACCCTCAGGACTTTAAGATATATTTTTACATAAGAAATATGTAGGACATTGCTATCACAGCAAATGCTCAGCGAACACTAACAGTTCCAGCTAAATTAAAAATAAAGAAATACAAAATAGCTAAAAAAACATTTCTATCTATTTTAAGCCTAACGACATTATGCTGCATTATTTAGTGCTAGTCTAAACGTTTCCATGCGCAGAAATTTGACCCTTAAGTTTCTATACTTCTTAAGATAGCTAGCTAAACCAACGACAATGCAGGCATTTCCTTAGACGATGTTTATTAGATTAACGACTGTGCAACATTAGCTCTCTCTCGACGTATGGCTAAGTTTTTGAGTGGTTTTCATTGTGTAAACACATTCAGTGCAGTAACACATGAATGTAACTACAATTTTATAAAGACGATATACACACTACGAGTTTTGAGGAAGATGGGAAAAGTGGTAATGTGTGTAATATTTTTTATTTATAAACCTTATTTCCAGCACACTGAAGCCACATTGCTTAACATGGTAAATATTTTATAACGGTGTTGTAAACTAATAAATTATGGATATACTTCTGTAAAAGCAGTTGTTATTAATGTATGATTACAGACTGGTGAACAATGTGGTATACATGAACATGTTTTGAATTGTCTTTGGTAATAACTAAAACAATATTTGGTAAAACAATGGGTAAACATATTCCAGAGTAGCCATTTTGCAATAAGAAAGTATATATATATATATGTATCTTTTAATCCTTAAGCATTAAATGCGTGGAAATGTTACGCGCTGGAAAATAACAAATGATATAATGTTAATAAAAAAACTATTTGCAAAGACGGTAAAATAATTCTACCAGGTTTATAACTACAGTTTCGCCTATTCAAGGCTCATTACTGTGCTGATGAGCCTTGAATAGGCGAAACTGCAGTTTACAGCAGAGGGTACAGCCAATCAAAGAATGTATTAGGCGTCTAGATCACAGACTCTCTTTTCAATTTCATCTTTGATAAAAAAGAAAAATAATATTTAACATCTATATCCAATATCTAAACAGTTGGTCCGCCGTATAATATCTAATAACGAATTGGACGAAATGTCATAATATTATTCATATATTAAATTAATTTAAGTTACTGTAAGGTGAAGTAAAATAGACTCTAAATCCCATAGGTACTACACCTGGGAATGCTTACATTTTTGATTCAAAACGCTCTACTGTAAGGGGATTTACGCTGAACTTTTAAGATGAAACTAGCTATATTTGACATATTTGTAAGGTGAACGTTGTATTACGGCTAAATAAGAAGTGAGATAAACGAACAACCGTAAAACGTAATGTCACGTTTTAGTTTCATCCACACTCGACTGCGAAAATTCAACCAGCATAAACGATCATTCTGGTTGTACATTATATAAAGAAATAAGTGTCGTTGAATTTCCATCTCTCAAAGAGTATTTACCAATAACATCACCTACAGCTTGTTTGTTTAGCGTTAAGCACAAAACTGCACAACGGGCTATCTGTACAGTGCTTACCGCAGGGACTGAACCCCAAATTTTGTCGTTATATGCTCTGACGTATGCCCCTGAGGCTACCTTGAGGTCACGACCTACATAATTCCGGGTATACTGTCGTATAAACCCACTACACCTTAATAAGTTTCGTTTTTACTTTCATATGTAAATTTTAAGTGACAAACCAGCGTATCTTGTTTACGTCCTTTTTGAATAAATTTACCCTACACTTCATTGCGAGTATAACATAATTTATGCAATCGATATATATAAATTACGTGTTACAATCATACCGATTCTGTAAAAGATCTAATTTACAAAATTAGCAGGATAATCATATGAAACAGTAACGCCCCCCCCCCCCCCCTCTGTGTGAAAAATAGTAAAGATGGCTGTAATAACCTGACACTTGGTCTTATATCATTCTCTATAGATAAAGGGGAATAATATTTTATGGTATTACTGTTTTGAAGTGGACCACGAACCCGATCAATCCACACAATAATCGTGATTTTATATACTTTGTTAAATGAATATAACTAACTGGAATCTAAAGTGACAAAAGTTTAAAAATCACAAAGAAATATCGAAGCATTTGCGTTTTTTAGCACATTAAGTCGAAGTCTAATACAAACAAACAAGGAACATCTGAATTACGCTAATCTCCTGATCCCTTCAATATCGTATAATACTGTGAGCGCGAGGAAAATCTGGAGCTCACATCAATTTACTTTTATG